CTTCACATAATGAATCAGAAACTTTTCTTGTGCACACTTAACAAATTCCTCTCCAGCCAAGCCTTTAACACAATGGCAGTCCCAGTCTATGTTTCAAAAGTTAAAACCTCCTATCATAACCACCCTATTATTCTTATAGATAACTTAGAAATCTTACAACTTATCTTCTCAATTTTCCGCTGACTATTTGGGGGTCTATAGTACAATCCCAATGAGGTAGGCATCCCTTTCTTATTTCTCAGTTCCAATCAAATAACCTCACTGGACATACTCCCTGGAATATCCTCCCAAGTACGGCCGTAATGTTATCCCTAATCAAAAACACCAGTCCCCCTCCTCTCTTGTCCTCTTTCCTATCCTTTCTATAGCATCTATACCCTGGAACATTGAGCTGCCAGTCCGTCCATCCCTGAGCCACATCTCTGTAGTAGCTTTAATAGAACATAGCACAGTGCAACACAGGAACGGGCCCTTCAGCCCATGAGGCCATGCCGGACATGGCACCAAATGAAACTAATGCCTTCTGCTGGCCCTCGGTCCATATCCCTCCATTCCTTGCATATGTTATATCTAAAAGTCCCTTAAACGCCCCTATTGTGTCTGCCTCTACCACCACTACTGGCAGCATGTTCCAGACCTCTGTCACTCTCTGTGTAAAATACATGCCCCTCTCACCTTAAATGCCTGTCCCCTGGTATTAGACATTTCAACTCTGGGAAAATGATTCTGATTGTCAACCCTATCTATGCATTCTCGTAATTTTTTTTAATACAATCCCCACAGTGTGGAAACAGGACATTCGGCCCAACAAGCCCACTCCAACCCTCTGAACAGAATCCCACCCAGACCCATACCCCACCCATCCATGCAACCCTGCTTCTCCCATGGCCAACACACCCAACTTACACATCCCTGAACACTACAGGCAATTTAGCATGACCAATCCATGTAACTTGCACAGGCCCTTCGGCCCAACAAGTCCACACTGACCTCAGAGCATCCCATCCAGATCCATTCCTCTATAACCCACCTAATCTACACATCCCTGAACACTACGGACAATTTAGCATGGCCAATACACCTGGTCTGCACATCTATGAACTGTGGGAGGAAACCGGAGCACCTGGAGGGTACCCATGCAGACGCAAGGCGAATGTGCAAACTCCTCACAGACAGTCGCCCAAGGGTCGAATCGAACCCGAGTTCCTGGCGCTGTGAGACAGCAGTGCTAACCACTGAGCCCTCGTGCCACCTTATAGCTCATACTCTCTAATCTAGGCATCATCCCAGTAAACCTCCTGTGCACCGACTCCAAAGCCTCCACATTCTCCCTGTAAAGCGATGGCCAAAATTGAAGGCAATATGATATCGCAGTCCCATGTTCCCAACCGTGCTCTGAGCTCAACTGCCTTACCTATGCATTGGAAAAATGCAATTTAATTTATCAGTCCTAAGTTGTTCTCTGCTCTATTCCTGCCTGCCTTGATGTTTGACTTGCTCCTTTTCCCAACTGCACCAACCTCACACTGAGACGACAAGATGCAGAGCGAGATGAACACAACAGGCTAAGTAGCATCATAGGAGCAGAAAGGCTGATGTTTCGGGCCTAGACCCTTCATCAGAAATGGGGGAGGGGAAGGGGGTTCTGAAATAAATAGAGAGAGAGGGGGAAGCAGAAAGAAGATGGATAGAGGAGAGGATAGGTGGAGAGGAAACAAACAGGTCAAAGAGGCGGGGATGGAGCCAGTAAAGGTGAGTGTGGGTGGGGAGTTAGGGAGGGGATAGGTCAGTCCAGGGAGGATGGACAGTTCAAGGGGACGGGATGAGGTTAGTAGGCAGGAGATGGGGGTGCGGCTTGAGGTGGGAGGAGGGGATAGGTGGGAGGAAGAACAGGTTAGGGAGGCGGGGACGAGCTGGACTGGTTTTGGGATGCGGTAGGGGGAGGGGAGATTTTGAAGCTTGTGAAATCCACATTGATACCATTGGGCTGCAGGGTTCCCAAGCGGAATATGAGTTGCTGTTCCTGCAACCTTCGGGTGGCATCGTTGTGGCACTGCAGGAGGCCCAGGATGGACATGTCGTCTAAGGAATGGGAGGGGGAGTTGAAATGGTTTGCGACTGGGAGGTGCAGATGTTTATTGCGAACCGAGCGTAGGTGTTCTGCAAAGCGGTCCCCAAGCCTCCGCTTGGTTTCCCCGATGTAGAGGAGGCCACAACGGGTACAGCGGATGCAGTATACCACAATAAGAACCAAAAAAGGATCCCCCTCGTCCTCACGTACCACCCCACCAACCTCCGGATCCAACGCATCATCCTCCGACACTTCCGCCATCTGCAATCCGACCTCACCACCAAAGACATCTTTCCCTCCCCACCCTTATCTGCTTTCCGGAGGGACCACTCTCTCCATGACTCCCTTGTCCGCTTCACACTCCCCTCCAGCCCCACCACACCCGGCACTTTTCCCTGCAACCGCAGGAAGTGCTACACCTGCCCCCATCCCAGGCCCAAAGAAGACTTTCTTCATCAAGCAGATGTTCACCTACACATCTGCCAATGTGGTATACTGCATCTGCTGTACCCGTTGTGGCCTCCTCTACATCGGGGAAACCAAGCGGAGGCTCGGGGACCGCTTTGCAGAACACCTACGCTCGGTTCGCAATAAACAACTGCACCTCCCAGTCACGAGCCATTTCAACTCCCCCTCCCATTCCTCAGACGACATGTCCATCCTGGGCCTCCTGCAGTGCCACAACGATGCCACCCGAAGGTTGCAGGAACAGCAACTCATATTCTGCTTGGGAACCCTGCAGCCCAATGGTATCAATGTGGATTTCACAAGCTTCAAAATCTCCCCTCCCCCTACCGCATCCCAAAACCAGTCCAGCTCGTCCCCGCCTCCCTAACCTGTTCTTCCTCCCACCTATCCCCTCCTCCCACCTCAAGCCACACCCCCATCTCCTACCTACTAACCTCATCCCACCCCCTTGACCTGTCCGTCCTCCCTGGACTGACCTATCCCCTCCCTAACTCCCCACCTACACACACCTTTACTGGCTCCATCCCCGCCTCTTCGCTCTGTTTGTTTCCTCTCCACCTATCCTCTCCTCTATCCATCTTCTTTCCGCCTCCCCCTCTCTCCCTATTTATTTCAGAACCCCCTTCCCCTCCCCCATTTCTGATGAAGGATCTAGGCCCGAAATGTCAGCCTTTCTGCTCCTATGATGCTGCTCAGCCTGCTGTGTTCATCCAGCTCTGCACCTTGTTGTCTCGGATTCTCCAGCATCTGCAGTTCCTACTATCTCTAGCCTCACACTGATCTCTTTTCTCACTATCTGTCTGTATCCCGTAACAATCTCCCCAGCCCTTTCCCATTAGTTTCAATTCTCTCAGGTGGCACCAGCAACTCTCCCTGCCAGTATATTAGTCCCCTTCCAACTTAGGTGTAACCCATCCTTCTTACACAGGTCACTTCTACCCCAGAAGAGATTCCAGTGATCCAAAAATGTGTGTCTTTCTCCCCCGCGCCAGCTCCTCACCCACGCATTCATCTGCTCTATCCTCCTATTCCTACTCTCACCAGCACATAGCACCCTTGAGGACTTTTGAAGCTCCTGCCTGATTTCCTATATTCTCTCCTCAGAACCTTGTCGTTTTCTCTTTCTATCTCATTGGTTCCAGTGTGTACAATGACTTCCTGCTAGTCTCTTTCTCTTTTGAGAATATTCTATACTGTCTCTGAGACATCCTTGACCCTGGCACCCAGGAGGCAACAATATCTCATTGCCTGCCACAGAAAAGACAATCTATCCCCCTGACAAGAGAGTCCCCTATCAAAGTCAATCACTTGGAACCTGATGTACCCCTCATTATATTTGAGCCAATCTCAATTCCAGAAATTTAGCTGTCAGTGTTACATTCCCCTGAGAGTCTGTCACCCCCTACAATTTCCAAAACAACATATTTGCTTGAGGTGGGGATAGTCACAGGAGACTCCTGCACTACCTCCCTACGTCTCCTGCCTTTCCTAGAGGTAACACATTTACCTGACTGTATCTGCGGTTTTTCTACCTTCTGAAACTGTCATCTATTGCATACCCAGCTGCTGTAAATTCCTCATTACCACCAACCGCCACTGCAACCTATCCATGCGATCCGATAGGATTTGCAACCAAACATACTTTCTGCAGACGTAATCATCAGTGACATTAAAATTCTCCCTAATCTCCCACATCTGACAGGAAGACAATACCTCGTTTATGCATACTGTTTGTTCTCTGCCAGCCAATTAATCTTCTATCCATGCTGATACGTTACCTGCAACACCAAGCATTTTCATTTTCTGCAATAACCTCTGATGTGGCACTTAATCAAGTGCCTTCTGGAAATCAAAGTACAGACTGTTTACATACTCCCCTTTAGCTATTGCATATGTTACTCCTTCCAAGAACTCTAATTAAATTCAGTTAGAGATGAATTCCCTTTGACAAAAGTATGCTGGCTCTTCCTGAATACCTTGACTATTTTTCGAAGTGCTCAATCTATAATCCCTTTAAAGATTGAGCCTAACACCTTTGTCACAACAGACACCAAGTTAACTGGCCTACATTTCTTTTTTCTACCTCCCTCTCTTTTTGAATAGAGGAGATATGTTTGCTACTTTGTACACTGATGGAAGATTTCCCGAAACAAGGCAGTTTTGGAAAATTAACAGCAATGCATCTACTCACCCATTTGCAACATCTTCTAAAGACCCTAGTATGACGTCCATCTGAACCCTGAGACTTGTTGGCCTGCAAACAGCTTCTGCGATTTCCAACAGAGACATTTGATGAAGTCTATGTCCATCTATCTGTAGTTCCCTCTTTACCATCAGCAAGAGAGGGAAAGAGAAACAGAAAGGGATTTTCCAATCTTCAGTCAGCAATACTGCAAGGCTTAGAGCTGGTTAGGATTCATGAATTAGGTCATGGGTACTAATGAGTGTCATTGTATTTCAGAGCAGCAAATCTATACGAGGAGGATGAACCAAATGTCTTTGCCGAACCAACCGTCTTTGCTACAATCCTGCTGCCTTTTCTCCTCCAAATAGTAGAAAAGTGGGGTAGTACTGCAGCCTGTCATGGCTGGCTGAAGGCTTGGGCCATAGATAACCACTCGGACATTGTGAAGAATATGAAACAGCTTAACCAGAGATGGATCCAAGGTCAGAATGATTCGAGGTTATTACTGTTAACCCAAGCCAAATCATCATATCCCACTAATCTCTATTGTATGTGTCAACATTGCCCTTCACACTCAGGCCCAGTGCATCTCACACTGCCCTTTCACATCCTGGGACAGTGCATCACACACAGCCCTTTCACATTCTGGGACAATGAGTCAAACACTGCCCTTTCACACTCTGGGACTGTGCATCACTCATAGAATTGTAGAGTTATGCAGCACAGAAACAGACTCTTCGTTCCAACTCTGGCCACATATCCGAAATAAATCTAGTTATATTTGCCAACATTTGACCTGTGTCCCTCTAAACCCTTCCTATTCATATACCCATCGACATGCCTTTTAAATGTTGTAATTGTACCAGCTTCCACCACCACCTCTGGCAGCTCATTCCATACACGCACCACCCTCTACATGAAAACATTGTCCCTTAGGTCCCTTTTAAATCTTTCCCTCCCACCTTAAACAAATGCCGTCTAGTTTTGGACTCCCCCACCCTGAGGAAAAGACCTTGTTATTCATCCTATACATTCCCCTTATGATTTTATAAACTTCTATAAGGTCATCCCTCAGCCTCTAGCGCTCCAGAGAAAATAGCCCCCGCCTATTCAGCCTCTCCTGCTGGCTCGCACCCTCCAACCCTGGCAACATTCTTATAAATCTTTTCTGAATCCTTTCAAGTTTAACAATGTCTTTCCTATAGCAGGGAGACCAGAACTGAACGCAGTAGTCCAAACATGGTCTAACCAATGTCCTGTGTAGCCGCAACAAGACCTTCCAACTCCTGTACTCCGTGCACTGACTAATAAAGGCAAGCATATCAAACACCTTCTTCACTATCCTATCCTCCCGTGACCCCACTTTCAAGGAACTTTGAACCTGTACCCAAGATCTCTTTGTTCAGCAACATTCCCCAGGACCCTATCGTGAAGTGATATGTTCTGTCCTGATTTGCCTTTCCAAATTTCAGCACCTGATGTTTATCTAAATTAAACTCCATTTGCCACTCCCCACACATTGACACATCTGATCAAGGTCCCATTGCACACTGAAATAACTTTCTTCACTGTCCACTACACCACCAATTTTGGTGTCATCTGCGCACTTACTAACCATACCTCCTATATTCACATCCAAATCATTTCTATAAATGACAAAAAGTAGCGGACATAGCATCAATCCTGCGGCACACCACTGGTCACAGGCCTCCAGTCTGAAAAGCAACCCTTCACCACCAGCCTCTCCCTCCTACCTTCAAGCCAATTTTGTATCCAAATGGCTAGTTCTCCTTGGATTCCATGTGATCTAATCTTTCTAAGCAGCCTTCTATGCAGAACCTTGTCAAGCACCTTACTCAAGTCCATATAGACAACGTACACAGCCATGCCTTCATACCCTTGCATACTTTGGGATAGTGAGTCACACGGTGTCTTTTCACACTTTGGGACAGTCTGTCACACAGTGTCCTTTCACACTCCAGGACGGTGTGTTGTGCTCCGTCATTTAACACGCTGGGACAGCTCTTACGTGCTGTTGAATAGTGCGTACACACTGTCCTCTCCTGTTACACCGTCTCCTGTCACGCTCAGGGACAGTAGGTTAGAGGTGTTGCTGTTACAGTGTTTGCAGTAGTCCTGGCCAGTAATAATCTCCTTTTTATTGCAGGGCTCCCACTGGTTGAATGCTTTAATGTTCTAGCTGCTGCCAACTTTTATCCTGCACTTGTGGGACTTCTAGTGAGATTGAATGTTCTCTTTCATCATCTTCAAACACTTGAATCTGTCAATGTGGACACATCTGATATTGGCGGCCCTTCGTGCAGACTGCAAGCTGACCTGGAACAGCTGCACGGACTCATCACTGAGGCTGGATTAGTCCCAGTCAGTATGGGATTAGCTACATGGAGGAATGCAATCACTGAGAGGTGACAAGGTATCAAATTATTGGCTTTCAACAAGAGTAACAGCACCTCTGAACAGTGATCTTGTCCCCCTGCAGCTCCCGCCATTGCCTCACACACAATCGCAGTGAGGTCCAATCATTGCCTCACTCCAAAGCACAAGAAATAGGAACGGTAGATGGTTATGTTCCACCATGCTCCAGAATTCCATTGGGATTACAACTAATCTTTGGGCTTTGCCTCCGCTTTCCTGTCTGTTCCCCATATCAATTCCCTGAGGGACCAGAAGTCTCTGTATTCCAACCTCAGTTATATTCATCAGTAGTGTTTCCACAATCCTCAGGAGCAGAATATTTCAAAAATTCACAACCCTTTGAAGTAATTTCTCCTCATCTCAGAACTAAATGCTACACCCTTTATTGCAACTGTGACCCCAGTTCTCCCAATTCCTCAGCTGGAAGAACTGTCTTCAACCCTTTGAAGCTTATGAATCACAATGGGATACACAGACTGAGTAGAGTCATCATGAAGTACTGTTTTCCTCATACTGGTGCTCCAGTTTTCACGTTTCAATTTTTTAAAAAATAAGCATACTGTAAAATCAGTCAAGGTGAAATCAAAGATGGAGTTTATTAACAAAATATTCAAATTGCAGGGGAATTTCTTTGTTAGTCCATAAACACACACAAGCACTCAGGAAATTAAGGATGATAGGACATTAGCACTGACCACACAAATACTGACCTTAACTCCAAGGACATTGAAGAAGCAGCTGATGATTGTTATGCCAAGAATACAACCCTGAGGAACTTGTGCAAAGATGTCCTAGAGCTGAAATGATAGACCTTCAACAACCACAACCATCTTCCTATATGCTGCGTATGACTGCAATCAATGGAGAGTTTCCCTTTGGCCTCAGTCTTGCCTTGGTGTTGCACACCTTTGATATTGAAACCAACAATATTGGGGAACATTTCCAATCAACAATAGCAACAATTTGGCCAGTTTAGTTAGAAGCAAGAAGGTGAAGGGAGGATTTAATAGAGATCTTTGAAATTATGAAGGCATTTGATTTAAAACAAAATTAAAGCAGTAACATAGAATCCCTGCAGTGTGGAAGCAGACCATTCACCCATGGAGTCTTATTGACCCCCCCCACCCAAAGAGCATCCCAACCCCTACCCTATCCATCTGCATTTCCAATGGCTAACCTGTACATCCCTGGACACTATGGGCAATTTAGCATGGCCAGCCCATCTAACCTGCAACATCTTTGAACTGTGGTGAACAATTTTGGTTCCTCATATTGAGGAAAAGCATACTGGCATTGGTGGCAGTCCAGAGTTCACTAGGCTGATCCCAGGTGTGCACGGGGCTGTTGTACAAAGAGATTAGATTTTAAATTCAATTAATAAAACAATCTGAATCTGAATAATAGTCTCAGTCATGGTAATTGTGGAATATTATCGCTTGTTGAAAATGAAGGGCCATCTGTTTCACTAATACCATTGAGGGAAAGAAATCTGCCATGCTTATCTGATCCAGCCTATATGTGGTGCAATGCAGTTGACTCTTAACTGCCCTCTGAACGTGCCAAGATAGCCACACAGCTCAAAAGCAATTAAGGATGGTCAACAAATGGTAGCCTTCCCAGAAATACCCTTATTACAAATGAAATAAAGAATGGTTTTTAAAATTCATTCTTTTTGTGGGATGTGGGCATCGCTGGCTGGTCAGCATTTATTGCCCATCCCTAGTTGCCCTTGAGAAGGTGGTGGTGAGCTGCTGCCTTTGAAGTGCTGCAGCCCACCTGCTGTGGGATGACCCATAATGCCTTTAGGGAGGAAATTCCAGGATTTTGACCCAGCCCTTGAGCGTTGTTCAAGCTGCACTCATCCAGGCAGTTAGAGAGTATTCTGTCACACTCATGATTTAAAATCCTTGTAAATGTTAGACAGGCTTTGGAGAGTAGACTTCCCAGCCTCTGACCTGCTCTTGTAGCCAAAATATTTAAATGGCTGGCCCTATTCAGTTACTACTAAATGGTAAACTCCAAATGTTGATAGTGTGGGGTTCAGTGACAGTAATGCTAAGGGGCGGCGGTTAGATTATTGTTTGTTGGAGATGGACATTGCCTGGCACTTGAGTGGTTTGAATGTTATTTGCCACCTATCAGCCCAAACTTGGATACTCTGCTGGTCTTGCTGCATATGGACATGAACCTCTTCAGTATCTGATGAGTCACGAATGGTGCTGAACATTGTGCAACCTTCAGAGAACATCCCAACTTCTGACTTTATATTGGAGGAAAGGTCATTGATGAAGCAGCTAAAGATAGTTGGGTCTAGGATAATACTGTGAGGAACTAGGGGTCCTGCAACATGGTAGTGGTGTCAAAGAACAAAGAAAATTACAGCACAGGAACAGGCCCTTCGGCCCTCCAAGCCTGCGCCGATCCAGGTCCTCTATCTAAACCTGTCGCCTATTTTCCAAGGATCTGTATCCCTCTGCTCCCTGCCCATTCATGTATCTGTCTAGATACATCTTAAATGACGCTATCGTGCCTGCCTCTAACACCTCCGCTAGCAACGCGTTCCAGGCACCCACCACCCTCTGCGTAAAGGACTTTCCTCGCATATCTCCCTTAAACTTTTCCCCTCTCACCTTGAAATCATGACCCCTAGTAATTGAGTCCCCCACTCTGGGAAAAAGCTTCTTGCTATCCACCCTGTCTATACCTCTCATGATTTTGTAGACCTCAATCAGGTCCCCCCTCAACCTCCGTCTTTCTAATGTAAATAATCCTAATCTACTCAACGTCTCTTCATAGCTAGCGCCCTCCATACCAGGCAACATCCTGGTGAACCTCCTCTGCACCCTCTCCAAAGCATCCACATCCTTTTGGTAATGTGGTGACCAGAACTGTACTGTCCATACTTCTAAGCCAAGGATCAGTATTTAAGACCCACCTGGTGCAGAAGTGGATAATAACATCTCTGACCAGATTGTTTAGAAAAATATCTACCGTGAAAAACTCCTGCAGAGAGGACCTGGACCTGAGCCGATGAGTCAAATGTGGTGGTGAGAAATTCAGTGATGAGAATTTCAGTGTCAGGTGAACTGAGGTAGGAATTGATTCCAGCCATTGTGGAATTGGGAATTGGTAGTCTTAGTTAACATATGATAGGAAACTCATCTTGGAATCTGTGACACTAAGGCATTCCGAACAGTTCAGCTCAGCTTCAAACATTTGCCAAGGCAAGAGATGGGCAGGAGACGGCCTAGTGATATTCTTGCTAAATTATTAATCCAGAAACTCAGCTAATATTCTGGTGACCCAGATTCTCATCCCAGTATGGCAGATGTTGGAATTTGAATTTAAAAAAAAAGTCCGGAATTAAGAATCTACTGATGACCATGAAACCATTATCAATTGTCAGAAAACCCCATCTGGCTCACTAATGTCCTTTAGGGAATGAAGTCTTCACCTTCACCTGTTCTGGCTTACATGTGACATCAGACCCACAACAATGTGATTGAATCTGAAATTCCCTCTGAAATCACCTAGCCAGCCACTCAGATGTATCAATCGCTGCAGAGTCTCAACAAAGGAGTGAAACCGGACAGACCACTTGGCCTTGATCTAGGCAGCAGAAAAGACAATGGCAGAAACAGCCCTGTTGGTCCTGAAAAGTCCTCCTTACTAAAATATGGGACTCATGCCAAAATCACGAGACCTATCTTTCAGGCTAATAAAGCAACAGCCTGACATAGTAAATGCACAAAACCATACCTGGTTTTATCCCACTGGCAGGACCGACCCTGCAGGGGTGACAGCACAGTGGTATGCAGTAGAGAGTGAGTTGCCTTGGGCGTCCTCAATATTGACTCCAGACCCCATTAAGTTTCATGGCTTCAGATTAAACATGAGCAAGGAAACTTGCTGATTACCACATACTGTCCTCCCTTGGTGATAAATCAGTACTCCTCCATGTTAAACAACACTTGGAGGAGGCATTAAGGATGGGAAGGGTGCAACATGTAGTTTGGGTGGAGGATTACAATGTCTGCCACAAAGAGTGGCTTAGCAGCATTGCTACTGATTAAGCTGAACTAGTTCTAAAGGACATAGCTAATGGACTGGGTCTGCAGCAGGTGGTGAGGGAACCAACAAGAGGGAAGAACATACTTGACCTCATCCTTATTAATTTGCTGGCTGCAGATGCATCTGTCCATGACAGTATCAGTAAGAGTGACCACCACACAGTCCTTGTGGAGACGATATCTCGCCTTCACGTTGAGAATACCCTTCATCGTGTTATGTGGCACTATCTAAATGCTAAATGGGACAGACTTGGAACAGATCAAGCAACTTAAGACTGGGCATCCATGAGGCGTTAGAAATTTACCCCAGCATAATCTGTAACCTCATGGACCAGTGTATCCCCCACCATTACCCAGGGATCAACCCTGGTTCAATAGAGATTTCAGGAGCAAAACCAGACTTACCTAAAAATGAAGTGTTAGCCTGGTAACGCTACCAAACAGGACTACTTAATGCCAAGTAGCATAAGCAGCAAGCGATAGACAGAGCTAAATGATCCGACAACCACCGGAATCAGGTCTAAGCTCTGCAGTCCTGACACAGTCACGTGTGAATGGTGGTGGACAATTAAACAACTCACTGGAAGAAGAAGCTTGACAAATATCTCCATCTCATCCTCAATGATGGTAGAGCCCAGCACATCAGTGCAAAAGGTAAGGTTGAACCATTCACAGCAATCTTCAGTCAAAAGTGCTGAGTGGATGATCCATCTCAGCCTCTTCGAGTCGTCCTCAGCCTTACAGATACCCAGTCTTAGGCCAATTTGATTCAGTCCACATGATATCAAGAAATGGCTGGAGACACTGGATACTGCAAAGGCTACGGGCCCTGACAACATTCCAGCAGTAGTACTGAAGACTTGTGTTCCAGAACTTGCTGCTCCCCTAGCCAAGCTGTTCCAATACAGTTACAACACTGGCATCTATGTGGCAATGTCCAGGTATGACTAAACTTAAAAAGCAGGACAAATCCAACCTGGCCAAATACCACCCCATCACCATACTCTTGATCATCAGTAAAGTGATGAAAGATGTCATCAAGCTGTACCTGCTCAGCAATAACCTGCTCAGTGACACCCAGGTTAGGTTTCACCAGGGCCACTCACTCCTGACCACATTACAGCCTTGGTTCAAACATGGACAAAACAGCTGAATCCTGGAGGTGAGGTGAACGTAACAGCCCTTGACATCAAGGTCTCATTTGACCAAATGTCGCATCAAGAAGCCCTAGCAAAACTGGAATCAATGGGAATTGGGACAAACTCCCCACTGGTTGGAGTCACATTAACACGTAGGAAGATGATTATGGCTGTTGGAGGTCAGTCATCTCAGCTCCTGGACATCTCAGCAGGAGTTCGTCAAGGTAGTGTCCTAGGTGCAATCATCTTCAGTTGCTTCATCAATGACCTTCCCTCCATCATAAGGTCAGAAATGAGAATGATAGCAATGATTACACGATGTTCAGCACCATTCAGAACTCCTCAGATACTGAAGCAGTCCATTATTAAAGGCAATGAGATCTGAACAATATCCAGGCTTGGGCTGACAAGTGGCAAGTAACATTTGCGCCATACAAATGCCAGACAATGACCATCTCCAATCTAACCACCACCCCTTGATATTCAATGGTGTTACCATCACTGAATCCACCACTATCAATATCCTGAGGGTTATCATTGACCAGAAACTCACCTGGACTTGCCACATAAACACAGTGGCTATAACAGCAGGTCAGAGATTAGGAATATTGCAGCAAATAACTCACCTCCTGACTTCCCAAAGCATGTCTACCATTTACAAAGCACAAGTCAGCACTGATGGAATGCTCCCCACTTGCCTGGATGGGTGCAGCTCCAACAACACTCAAGCTAGGACAAAGCATCCGACTTATTGACATCCCATCCACAAGCATCCATTCCTAGAATTCCCTCCTCAAGGGCATTGTGGGTCAAATTACAGTTCATGGACTGCTGTACTTCACGAAGGCAACTCATGATTACCTTTTCAAGGAAAACAGGGATGGGCCATAAATGCTGATCAATCAGTGACACCCACATCCCACATGTGAGTATAAAAAGAAGATGGAGATGGTAACTAGGAAACATTGTTTGTTTGTTCTGAGAATGACTGGCAGTGTCTGAGTGTGTGTTTTCATCTTTGTTTTCCTGCAGACTCTAATCTCAACAGTTAAGTGTGGACTCAGATTACAATCTCCCACTATTTGGATTGCATCTCCCCACACAGGAGCATAGATGTAGTCAAACTGTGTTGAGCTGCAGACCTCCAGCATTTGATGTCCTCAGAAACTTTAATAAGAGCAATTGCCACTTTCTCGATCAAGAATGTTTGTCACTGTTAGGTACGGAGGTAGGTGGCACTTCCTGGTTACTGCATGCCCATTTGGATTTGTATTTCAGTCTATGTGACTGTCTTGACCACCATTCTGCTAGACAAACCAGATAAACTGCTGAGGCCACTAGTGTAGGGATGGGAGGTATTCGCAAAGGAAGGATCAAACAGAGGGATTTCATAGAAAGAAACGGTTTCCCTTGGTTTGGGATTTGGAACAAAAGATCTTAACATCAACAACAATTTGTATTTATGTAGCCTCTGAAGTCATAACGTCCCAAGTTACTCTACACAGTATTAAAACAAGACAATTGTTAACCAACCTCCTGAGAAAATATTGAGCTGATGAGCAAAGCTTGGTCAAAGTGTTGGTAAGAACTGCCAATACTGGAGCCTGAGATAACACAGTGTGGAGCTGGAGGAACACAGCAGGCCAGGCAGCATCAGAGGAGCAGGAAAGCTGACGTTTCGGGTCAGGACCCCTCTTCAGAAATGGGGACTTCTGAAGAAGGATCCCGACCCAAAATGTCAGCTTTCCTGCTCATCTGATGCTCCTTGGTCAAAGTGACAGTTTTCAAGGAGTATTTCAAAGGAAGGGAGAGGGAGACTGAAACAAAAAGGTTTAGGGTGAATTTCAATATTTATATCTCAGAAGCTGGGGGCATGGACCACAACAGTGGAGCAATCAAAATGAGAGAGGCTTGAGAGGCCAGAAATAGAGATTACAGAGATCGAAGAGGATAAACCATGGAGGGGATTTTAAAATTGAGGCATTGTTTGACTCGGAGCCAACATCAGTCAATAAACAAAGAGGTATTACGGGATTTTATGTGAGTTAGATGATAGGCAGCAGAGGTTTAGATAAGGTCAATTTTACAGAGGATAGAACCTAGGAGAACAGTCATGAGTGCAAATAAGAGTCAGTTGATATCACAGAGGCAGAGAAGATCCTTAGTGTTGGTGCAGACCTGTGTTGGAAGCTGATCTCCAGATCAAATTTAACACTAAGGTTCTAAACAGCCTTATTCAGTTCAAGACCATTGCCAGTACTGTAAGTACCTGTTTAATGTGTTTTAGCATTGCTCCATTAATAGGGTCTTGTATTCTTGTTTAATGTTGCAAGACTTGTTTTAAAAGTTTTCCCAATCAGACTGTTCCAAGATATTAATACACACCACTGGAGAAGGTTGTTTTCCACCATCTGATACGCAGCTTTATGACCTAGTCAATACCATTTTAGTGTGACCTCTTCCCCCTCCCTGATTCTTCAACCATTGACTTTTCCCCCTTCCTGATCCCAAACCTATAACTTAACCCCTCCCTGACAGTCCAACTAGTGACCTCTCACTCTCCCTGACCCTTCGACTAGTGATCTTTCTCCCTCCCTGAACATCTGACATGCAGCCTCCCCCACTCTTGTCTGTAAGACCATACATCAGCGGGTCAGGGAGAGGAACGGACCACAATGACCAGGAATAAGATATGTGCCATGCGGGAGTTTGGGGAAGTGAAATTGGCAGCAGGGCAGAGTGTTGTATGTAGAAAGTTAGGGCAGGCAATGTCATAGTGGGAATGTCACTGGACTGGAACTGAGTGTGGGACAATTGAGCATAGGATCCTGGTGTGAATTGGAACTTTAATTTGCATAATAAATGTGGAAATAAGAAACTATTCACAGTAATGGTGTCTGGCATTTGTTTACGAGCAGCTGGTGGGATGAGTGCTGGGAGGCCATCTCTCTCTCTCATTCCCTCTCCCCTCACCCAAAGGCACAGTAGGCCATGGCTGCAGCCACTAGCCATCCGTCAAGGGAATTCCTCCCAAAAGAGATAAAATGGGATGGGAGCTGGCTGGTGCTAGGGGTTCTCCCTCACCTGGGGAGTTTTTATTTAATATTCGTTCCAGGGATGTGGATATTGCTGGCTGGTCCACATTTATCACCCATCCCTTAGATGCTCTTGAGAAGGTGGTGGTGAGCTGCCTTCTTAAACCACTGCTGTCCACGTGCTGTAGATTGCCCCACAGTGCCTTTAGGGAGAGATTTCCAGTATTTGACCCAGTGACAGTGAAGGAACAGCGATATAGTTTCAAGTCAGGATGATGTGTGGCTTGGAGGGGAATTTGCAGGAGGTGATATTCCCATATATCTGCTGCCCTTGTCCTTTTAGTTGGAAGTGGTCCTGGTTTCGTAAGGTGCTATCTAAGGATCTTTGGTGAATTTCTGCAGTGCATCTTATAGATGGTACACACTGCTGCTACTGAACACTGGTAGAGGTGGGTGTGGATGTGGTACCAATCAAGAGGACTGCTTTGTCCTCGATGGTATCAAGCTTCTTGAGTGTTGCTTCTGATTTGTTTGGCTTGTGACTCAACACAGGGTGAGGCTGCCTCTGTTTGCAAATGACTTGGTTGAGGCAGATGCAGAGGACTGGCTGTGATGGGAGTTGGAGCTAACTCCTGCAAAAGGGACAACTGTTAACCTAAAAAAAATATACACACCACGCCAAAGATGCTGCTTTTGACCACATCTCCAGATGTCTTGACTTGTAAAACCACTGGGAACAGATGTACCTGACTGAGAACCAGGACTAGCCAAACTCATTCCATCTTTGCTGTAATCAATTTATTCACAGGTTTTCTGTGTGCACCCCTACCAACTCCCTCACACACACTCTGGTAGATCCTGAACTGCAGTCCTTTACTATTCATACACATCCTACACTATTTTCCAGGTGAGACGAAACAATGAAGCCACAGGAACTGTACTTGGCTTCTTGATAAAAAAGCAACTGCTTCTGACCTTGGGGCAGAATGGCTGCAGCTGGTGGAGAGTTCTCACGATATCTACCTTGCTGTTTTAATTTAGTTATTTTAATTTATTTATTTGATGTTGAGTGTCATTGGTTTGGCCAGTATTTATTTTCCAACCCAAACCACCCTGGAAAAGATGATGGTGAGCTGCCTTCTTGCACTGCTGCGGTCTATATGATGTCGGGACAGCCACAATGCATCTAGAAAGGGGGTTCCAGGATTTTGACTCAGCAACATTGAAGGAAGGCAATATAGCTCCAAGATGGTGGGATGAAGGGCAGGCAGAAAGGATTAGTAAAATTTGGTGTCATGTTGAGCAAAACATCATAGGCTGAAGGACCCCATTCTTAGGCTGTACAGTTCTATGTTCTATGGTGAGTGGCTTGGAGAGGAACTTGCAACTGGTAGAAAGGCTGTGATTCTGCTGCCATGGTCCTTCTAGATGCTTGTAATCACAGGTTTGGAACATAATATAGAAGGAGCCATAGTGAGTTGCTGCATTGCGTCTTTAAGAAGGAACGTCTTGTGTAAAGTGTAAGGCTCCAAAAGGTTAATGCTGTGGACTGCATTAAGCACCACCCAATATGATGATGCAGTATGGACTTCACAGAATGGTGGCAGCAAAGTCCAAAGAACTCCTCCAAGTTATGAAGATTCATTGTACAACAGTGCAGCCTGCTGCCACTGTGTCGATGGTGAATGGGGTACCTGTCAAGTGAGCTGTTTTGTATGGAGGGTGTTGATCTTTTGGAATGTTGTAAGTAGAACGTGGAGGATATTCCATCATGTAGGAACACTGAACTTAGGAGTAGGAGTAGTAGGTCTTGAACTCCACTTTCCTGCCTGCACCTTATAATCCTTGACTCCCTTGTCTATCAAAAACCCAATGCATAAATAAAACATGTTATTAGCATTGTTCCTCTGAGTTTACTCTTCCTTCCTATTGACTCAAGTTTTACTGGGTCTCCTTCATGGCACAATCAGTCAAATGCAACCTTGAAGTCAGGGGCTGTCATTCTCACCTCACCCCCTGGTATTTAGCTGTTTTGTGCATGAGAAGCTGTGTGACCTTGGTGAAATTCTTCTAAGTGTTAGTGAGCGCGTTATTGCGAAGCAAGTGCTACTTATAGCATTGTTGATGACCCTTTTCATTGCTGCTGATCAAGAATAAACTGGTTTGCTGATAATAGACAAGTTGGATTTGTTCTGCTTTTTGTGTATAGGGCATGCCTGGGCAATTTGCCACATTGTGTGTGTTGTAATCACATAGTAACCAAAATCAATGTTGTCACATCTACATAGTGCCATATGTATCTAGATATTGTCACCATAGTTGCATTGCATCTGCAAAGGGTGTCACACTTTTGATAGTGTTTCAACATTAATTCAGCTGTAAGCAGATTGTTCACTTCTGAAGTAAACCTGTAACCAGACAGTTTTAGTGCCTGAAGAAGGGTCACTAAACGTTAACACTGTTTTCTGCTCACAGATGCTACCAGACCTGATTTTCTCCAGCAATTTTATTTTGTTTGTTTTATACCCAGACACTGTCGGCACAACTGTAGACACTGTTATGACTTAATCTTGCAGTTTTACTAGTGCAGTAAAAAGACAGAGAAACTTTAGATGGAACAAATCAATGACAAGGAACCAGAACCAATATCACCAAACCTGTAGCCAATTAACTACTGCCTGTTAATGGTGCTGCTGTTTGTCAGTCAGACCACATTGTCCTTTTGGGCTCTGTGGTTTTTTATTGTTTGCACTGCAGAACTGAAGTAACCTCTAACCAGTGTGGCAATAAGCTTTAAGAGGTGTATTTTGTCTTTTTTTTTAATGAAGAGGTTGAGAAAGAGGCGCTGAGTGGTCTTTCTAAAGCCAATAAATTGAACAGCTTATGAGGCTTTGAGATTTTTTTTTAAAGTTGGAACACAACACTTTACTGTTGCCTTTAAAAATAAGAATATGTTGGCGTCCAGGCTATCTTCTTAATATATTTTGAGGGGGTTTGGTCTGGTTCATAACAAACTGGGGCTCTTGTTGGGGATCAATATCTTTAATTCCAGGTTAGGATCATTGGACCAAAAGACAGTGAGTGGTGAGTATTGGTGTTCTCTTTTCAGGTGTTGCATTTGGTTGGTTTAAATAAGGTGTGTGCTTTATGTAATAATGGCTTTTTCGGTAACTAAGAGTTTCTTGGGGGTGAT